GAACCAGGAGACATGTTTAATAAGAAACTCTGCACAGTAGAAGCTTTGCCTCCTGTCTGAACTAGAAGTCTGCTCTCCCTTGTGCTTGGCTTTTGATGCTTCAAAGACCTGGTTCCTCTCCAGCAAGAGGCTGCTGAGTTGTAAGTGTTCAGGGTCTCCAAATGTGATGTGGTTTTTGGAAGCTGCCATCGCTTTCTGTTCTTAATTTGGAGCTCCCTGAATGGTAGATTGTAATTTGGGATTTCCTAACCATTAAACTCCAGCTCTGCTTTACAAATGCCTTGAGAACCGATGGAAAGGTGGTTCTGCCCCTTTGTGGAACAGAGAGACAGTTGCGAGGCACAAGCCACTTCACAACATCCTTGGTGATGAGTCCCAAGGGGAATAAACAGGAGCCATTCATTCCCTTTGCATGCTCTCTAACAGGCCAGCAAAAAACCAGACAAGATTTCTAAGAGTTTTGCAGCCCGAGAATCTTGAATTGCGCAGCTTTGGCTCTGTGGCAATCTCGATTGCGTAACAGCGCCTTCTTTCAGACCACGAGACTGTCCTGTTCATGAAGAGCCCTCTTGGGCGTGTAGCAATAGCAATACCAAGGCAAGCATACTTGGATACTTGAGAGACCGCCTCCTGCCAATTACCTCCTCGCGACCCATTAGATCCCATAGATTAGGCCTCCTCCGAGTTCCATCTGCCAGTCAATGTCGACTGGCAACTACGCGGAGGAGAGCCTTCTCGGTAGTAGCTCCGACCCCCTTTGGAACGATCTCCCCGTGGAGATTCGCACCCTCACCACCCTCCAGACCTTCCGCACAGCCCTTAAAATCTGGCTATCCCGTCAGGCCTGGGGTTAAAGAATGTAACTCACCCCCACCCGAATGGTATGAATGTTGTGTTCTATTTTTAATTATGTATTGCTCTTATGTGTTATTGTTTGTATTCCCCTCCCCATGAGTTGTAAGCCGCCCTGAGTCCCCCCAGGGAAAAGGGGGGCCTATAAATAAATTTTCAAATACTCAAATACTCAAAGCACATTTCACCCTTTAAAGGATCAGCTGTCATTTGTCATTCCTTTTCACAACGCTCCTATTGGTACGTGGACCAGAAACCTAAGCTTAAGCCTTTCGAGTTACGTGAGCATGCAGATTAAAGGCCTCGGTGTACATGCACACAAACAGGCAACGTGCATACTCACATCGCAATCTCCACTTTCTATCGAATCCTGCTACCTGCTGCTTTATCTTTCTTTAATGATGCTGGCTGGGAATGCTGAAGCAACACACGGACAGCATCAGGTTGACGAAGGCTGTTGTTGTGGGAAGGTGTGACCCGACAAATGCGCGCCCGACAACAGCGCGTCGACAAAACCGTGGCGATAAAACCGCAACGTCGACAGCGCGTCCACAAAGGCGCGTCGACAAAAGACCGCCGACAGAAGCGCGATTAGGGTTAAGGTAAGGGTTAGGGTAAGGGTTAGGGTTAGGTTTAGAGCACGCTTTTGTCGGCGCGCTGTTGTCGGCGTGCCTCTGCGCTCATTCGTCGGCGCGCTTTCGAACTCGTGGTTTTCTCAGCGCGGCTTCGTCGGCACGCTTTTGTCGAGTGCGCATTTGTCGGTGAACCGTGGGAAGGGTGTGACGAGCAGCATTGTGGTTTATTTGCCAGTGGTCCTTTCAAAGAACTGGGGTGGATCTGTAGTCCTTGCAATGCCCTCTGGGGGGGGGCGGGGAGGTGATGGTGGGCCGTTCATGTGGTGGTGCCCTGTGGCTGTTGTTTGGAGGCGGGGTTCCCTGAGTGTGGTCCTGTGATCCAGGGCTTGAGTCATCGTCCCTCTCTCTCCCCTCCCCAATAGGCGATAAATCAAAAGCGGGTGAGCTACAGCCCCCCAAAGAGCTGGACCCATCTGCCCCCAGAGCTACCAATGACTTGGTGCTGCGTCGGGCCCGGCACCAACAGTTCTCAGGGGACACCGCCACGGCTGAGAAGCGCAGCTCCCGCACAGGGGGCAAGGTCATCAAATCTGCCTCAGCTACTGCATTGTCGGTCATAATCCCCACAGGTACGCCCCCTCCTCCTCCTCTTCATCCCTCCCCCCGACACACACTCCCCAAACCCCTAGCTATGCCATCCTCCTGTGAGCCCGGCCTGCCCACACTCACCGAACACCCTCCAGTCACCTTCTGTCTTTGCCCCACCACACAGACCACTGGCTTAAGGCACACTCCCCTCTCTTGCACATTATGCTCCCTTCACCCTTCTGAGCCCTGAGCACCTCTAGATTCCCCCATTTCTCTGGTCCAGGGATTCTCTCTCCCCACTCTAATAGGAATCAACACCGAACAACTTGCCTTCAGTAGCGTCCCCGTAATGGTTGTCTTGTGGCTTTGCATGATCTCTTCCACCCACCCACCCTGCCCTTTGGCTCTTCTAGTGTAGTTGCTGGGCTGTGTGTATTCTGCAAAAAAAGCCTGTCACAACACAAGTGGAATGCTGCAACTCCTCGTAGGGTTTATGCAAAGGAAGCCGATTTGCTTGATAGAACGTTCTTTGCATGGCTGATATTTCTGTTCAAACCCTCTGCTTCTGTTGCTTATGGGAAAAGGTCAATAAGCTAGGGGGAGGCACCCCAAATCTCCTCACCTGACCAGTAGCAAGAATCTTGATTCAGTCATACCCACTGAGGTCTTGCTTGGCACACATTCGGTTGGATCTCTCTAGCCATCAAGGCTAGGAACTGGAAGGGCGTATTTTGTGCCAGGGAAGCCTGTGTGCAGCTTGAAAATGCACCATACCCGCAGCCCTCATAGTTCCCTGTATGTGTCAGTACCATGTACTTAAGAGTCGCCTAAAATATCCCAACGATGCATTGTTTGGGGAAACATTTCCAGCTAGAAAAACACAATACAAGTAGCCCTCGACTTATGACTGGCCGCTTAAGGACCATTCAAAGTTACAACAGATCCCTCCCCCTTCCCCCAAGATGCTTATATGACTTGGTTTCAAAGTTACTGCTGTTACAACAGGGGTGGGTTCCTGCCAGTTCTAACCTCTCCTATAGAAGAGGTTCCACAAATCTACAGTGCCGTTTATAACCGGTTCCAGCTCCCTCCCCCCCCCCGCCCGTCCGCACATCATCAAGATGAAGAGCGAGAGGAGAAATTCTGGGAGTTGAAGCCCAAAAGTTTAAAAGGTGACAAGTTTGAACCCCCCGGTGTTTTTTTTCTAAAGGGTTAGGGGTGCAGGGGCCTTGTAACTTGACAGCT